TACTACCAGTCCTTCATCACCTTAGACGAAATAGGGTGAATACATCTCATTACACTGATTTAATGGTAGTTTCGAAACCCTACTCACTTCCTACCTTACTGTTTGAGCAAACTTGGAGATTCAGCGAAAACATCAAAGAGAAGACTCTTGCGCCCAGGACAACTGTTCAACAATAGAAAGAGACATCACCAAGTAGTGGCTCACGAGAAGTAATGGGAAGTCAAGAAAAGGCGACTGCACCAAGGGGAGTCAGACATGGAATTGGCCAAAAATGTACCCATAGGGTTCACCTGCGAGATAGAGGATATGAAATTAAAGGCTCAAGGTGTAGGTGGGCTAGATAGAGGCCATCAGTGTGTGTGTGTGTGCGTAGTTGTTGTGTGTATTTTTCATTTCTGTGTCTGAAGGGGAGGCTACTGGTGACAGGCTTGATCACGAGGGATACCAGCCAACACGCACAGGGACATCATCCCTGTACCCTAGGATTAAATAAGAATGTCAACTTGAGAGACGAGAGGAGTGTGATTTTCGCGATTAAAAGAAAAGGAGAAGCTGTGCATTCTCACACCAGCGGTTATGACTTAAGCTGCACACAGGGCCACAAAGTATGAGGGACAATGTGAGTGGGGAAGTGGGAGAGGATAATCGAGTCATGGGTCGGAAGCCTAGGAAAGGCTAGGAGCACTGGCATGTGCATGGACCTCATCTGCTCTAAATGCTCGAATATGGCGTAATCAAGGACGGGAATTCAAGACTTTTAGGCAACCAAACAGTGATTTTGATCAAAGATATAAAGACTAAAATGGTGTGGCAGCTGTGATGTTTAGCAGCGGTGACTTGACAAGTGGGTAGGAAAAAAAAGGGGGGGGCAGAATGTAGGTCTTGAGTTCTGCAAACGGCATCTGGTACCGGTGGTGGAAATGATTACGATACCATAAACCCACTTGTAGCGACACACTCTTAGGCAGCATTGGAGGAAACGAGAGCACAGAATTGTGTGAAAAAGAGGATGAGCCAAATGAAGTGGAGTTGAGAGAAGGAGATGCGGCACTAGAAGGTAGAACAAATAATAGAGGTTAGGAGTGATGCTATAACGGGTGAATAGAAAATTGGTCAAGGGGATTGCCGCTTGGGAGTGTATCATGTCAATAGTCTGACTCTGGAAATCACTAATATTATGACACAGGACACAGGACTAGGCACATTTAGCAAGGTTTTCCTGACGCTCCGACCAAGTTGCATAAACAACCCCGAAACAACATTAAACATAAAAGTTGTTTGACCTTGTTTTCGCAACTTGGTCATAATGGTAGGTAGACTGATAGAAACGCACCTTGTCCT